CTGGGAATTACGGTATTACTCTCTCTATTCTGTCAGAGTCTTGGTACCCAGTGGGGGCTGATTGAAGTGTCTGGTTTATCCTTTATTTACTCATTCCAGCAGGACACAAGTGCCTCTGGTCCTCTAAGCAGCAGTGGAACAGTGGTAAATAATACAAAGTCTTTCACTAGAGGATTTACAGTCTCATTTTGGTAGGTAGGAGCCAACCAAGAACACTTGGAGCTGGTGACAATGACTGTGGAAAGGACTAAAACAGAGTGATGTAAGAGTCATTAGGTGGTAATTTAAATTGCTGCCCCTAGAATGCAGCTTCCAGGGAGGGCAATTTTTTTTTTATTTCAAACTCTTTTTATTTCAGAAATAGTAGGGAAATCTATCTTTTTTTAATCTTTTATTTAATGAATATAAATTTCCAAAGTACGACTTATGGATTACAATGGCTTCCCCCCATACCGTCCCTCCCACCCACAACCCTCCCCTTTCCCACTCCCTCTCCCCTTCCATTCACATCAAGATTCATTTTCGATTATCTTAATATACAGAAGATCAGCTTAGTATACATTAAGTAAGGATTTCAACAGTTTGCTCCCACACAGAAACATAAAGTGAAAAATAATAGATGATTTTTTTTAATGATATGAAATCAGATCAGACCTATTGTCATGTTTAATCCCAGTGAGAGTCAAGTTGGGAATTGATAATTTCTTTTCTTTTCTTTTTTTTTTTTTTTTACAGAAGATCAGTTTAGTATACATTAAGTAAAGATTTCAACCGTTTGCACCCCCATAGAAACACAAAGTGAAATATACTGTTTGAGTACTCGTTATAGCATTAAGCCTCAATGTACAGCACATTAAGGACAGAGATCCTACATGAGGAGTAAGTGCACCGTGACTCCTGTTGTTGACTTTACCAATTGACACTCCTGTCTATGGCATCAGTAATCTCCCTATGCACCAGTCATGAGTTTCCAAGGCTATGGAAGCCCCTTGAGTTCTCCGACTCTTATCTTGTTCAGACAAGCTCATAGTCAAAGTGGAGGTTCTCTCAGGGAGGGCAATTTGAATAGGAATTGAATGATCAGAAACAAGCAACCAATGGGGATTGAATTCTAGACAGAGAATATACCCAGGCCAAAGGCCCCACGTGCAGTTGGAGTTTAGTGTATTTAAGGAATCGAAAGAAGGCGAATATGTCAGATGACTCAGATGTGTAGTATGCAAAGGGTGATGGGAAAGAGGAGGTAGGTAGGCAAGAGCCAGGATGTATGTAGCATGTGGTGAGGTAGGATCTTTTCTGCTTTGATTTTAAAGAGACTGAGGGGAGTTGGTTAATCCTCTGGCACAAGGAACACGTTCAGTGGTGAATGTGCTACTGGCCAACTGAACCATTCACAGAGCACCGGGGAATCCAGAAGCCAACCCTGTGGGATTCAAGATCTGTGCATCTCCTGGTGGAGCCCTGTGGAGTCCACCCTTGCAGTCACTTCTAGGGTAAGATGCTTCTTTGCCCATCTTCTAGGTGGCAGTCAAACAAACATAGTGATCACTCAAACCAACATATGCCAAGTAAGCATCCCTAAAAGTCCTTCTTTCTTATTTTTCATTTTATTTATAAGGCGGGGAGACAGAGACAGACAGAGATCTTGTATCTGCTGCTTTACTGCCCAAATGCCTGTATCATCCAAGGCTGGGCCATGCTGAAGCCAAGAGCCTCAAACTCCTATCTAGATTTCCCACGTGGGTGGTAGGGACCCAGTTCCCCAAGCCATCAGTTTCTGACTCCTACAGTGTATGTGAGCCAGAAGCTAGAATGGTAAGCAGAGCCAGAACTCAAACCCAGGCCCTCGAATATGAGATGTGGGCATCACCAGTGACATTTTAACTTCTTTGCCAAATACTTACCCACAGTGTTGTTCGTTATCACTTGCTCAGCAATGCGTGTGTAATACACACATAAGATGACTTCTTAACAAAACGCTTGGTTCCAGGGAATATATAGTATTTGGACGTTGTTGCACAAATAGGCTGCTAAAAACATTCCCCTAAGTGAGAATATATTAGGCCTGTTCAACTTTTTAAAGACATGTTGAATTACTGTTATACATGGTAATTAAAAGTAATAAATGCGTATGGTACTGTGTCCCTGGGCTGGGAGTACACAGGACAAAGCATCTGGTCAATTCAGTCATTTTCGTTTCATTTCCTAAGCATTTTGACTTGTTGAATATTAGATCAAACCAGTCCTTAGCATCAGGCAAAGCAAAACCCAAAAACAAGGTTTTATAGCACTGAATAAACAACATCATCACAAAACAACTCTTGGATGTCATTGAAGCGAGGAAATTTACACTGAATTCAGAGGCGGTCAGATTCATTCTGCTGGCTTTCTCAGGAAGTGGGTGTTGAGGTAAAATGCTCTTCTCCACGTAGTTGCTGTGTTTAGGCAGAGCTAGCGCAGCAGGTCAGGATGTTGTTGGAAGCCTCTGTGATTGTCGTCTTGCTGAGACTTGGTGAAGTCAGGGCCTAAGGGAGGGTGTAAATTAAAGTAGGAGGAGGAAGATGGGGAAGCGGCCTTTTGATCAAAGGAAAGTAACTCAGGAGGGTGTGGAGGCTGGCCATCTGCTAAAAGGAAATAAAAGGAAATCCCTCATTTCTAAACGGTTCATTGACCCATGATAATAAAGCAACCCAGCCAAGGAAGGATAATTATCTTTTTAAGTATCTGATGCCCTGTGGGTGAAGGCCTCCCTTCTACTCTCTTGAAAAAATAGACTCAGATTAAACAATGCCCCTGTTCTGAGTTTGCCATAGATGTGAGTTTCCTGATGATGAGCAAAATTACTTTGCCCCTTTACTTGGCCTCTTTACTTGGCCCCCTCTCTTAGGGAAATTGGACCCACCCAGCACTTCCCCTGGGCATGGTGCTTTTCCCTGGGCCCTGAGTTCCACCAGTGGCACAAGGGACTAAAGTGCTTGGTATTCTGGTGAGACTAGCAATCTCAGGATTGGGCTTTTATGCTGCCCTTTTGATGCTTAGCTCCAGGCAAAAGTATGCTTTCTAAAAACAACAAGAAAAAAGAAACAGAAGTAAGTCTAACACTGTGTTTTTTTCTTCTGTGGGTGTCTGATACGTAATGTTGAATGTATAATATATGTACACACACAGATACATACATGTTTGGAGGCCTATATGTGTATACACCTACCTTATAGGTTCAAATACAAAAGGGGCTGAAATGCTTAAGATGATTTAATAGTGAATTCTCATTTGCTAGGAATAAGGGTTCAAAGTTACATTCTTTTCTTCAAAATCTTTATGTTTACTCAAATCCACACCATAAATATGTTGCCTATGTTAACTTGTAGAAGGCATTGATGTGGCTTTGTATAAGCAAGCAACCCTTTTCATTAATGATTTACCTCCAATGTCTTCTTGGATTCTGTGTAAGGAGTCTGGGGAACCCTTGTCATAAATTGCTTAATCACATGGCACATCTCTTAATTATAGATGAGGTTTTCCAAACATTCTCAGAATGACTACACTCCTTGTAAAAATAAACAACTACTATGCTGTATGCATTCCATATTTCTCTTGTTACTCTGAAAAAAAAAATAAGGTTAAGATTTTAATCGTGGTGCTATACCTAGAGAAGCCAACGGATTACTCCAGTTGCTTTCCCAAGCTAGTACATTTGGCTGCTGGAGGGGACAGAGCTGGAGAAGAGGGCTTAGACAGTAATGGTGCAGAAGAGATCTTGCCTCCTGGGACAATTATCTCAGTAAGCACTTGAGTCTGTCTATATGCTAACATCCCATTGTCTTAAAAGGAATTCTTGACTTTCCATGCCTGAGACACTCTGGCGAAAAATGACCTAAATGAAACAATCTCTGATTGAGATCCCAGTGGAAAGAACAGGCCATCAAAGAAGGAGATACCTTTCTCTGAAGGGAGGAGAGAACTCCCACTTTGACCATGGCCTTGTCTAAATAAGATTGGAGTGGCCGGCACCGCGGCTCACTAGGCTAATCCTCCACCTTGCGGCGCCGGCACACTGGGTTCTAGTCCCGGTCAGGGCGCCGGATTCTGTCCCGGTTGCCCCTCTTCCAGGCCAGCTCTCTGCTGTGGCCAGGGAGTGCAGTGGAGGATGGCCCAAGTGCTTGGGCCCTGCACCCCATGGGAGACCAGGAGAAGCACCTGGCTCCTGCCATCGGATCAGCGCGGTGGCCGGCCGCAGCGCGCCAGCCGCAGCGGCCATTTGAGGGTGAACCAACGGCAAAGGAAGACTTTTCTCTCTCTCTCTGACTCTATCCACTCTGCCTGTCCAAAAAAAAAAAAAATAAATAAATAAATAAAAATAAATAAAAAAAAATAAAAAATAAATAAGATTGGAGTTGGCAAACTCAAGAGGCTTCCATAGCCTTGGCAGCTCATGACAAGAGCCTTGGGTGATTACTGACATCATAAATAAGAGGGTCAGTTGTTAAATCAACAACGGCAGTCACTGTGCACTTGCTCCCTATGTAGGACCTCTGTCCTTAATGTGCTGTACTATGAGAATTAATGGTATAACTAGTCTTCAAACAGTACTTTATACTTTGTGTGTCTGTGTGGGTACAATCTGTTGAAACCTTTACTTAATATAGAGTTGATCTTCTGTATATAAAGTTAATTAAAAATGAATCTTAATAAAGAAGGGATGGGAGAGGGAGTAGGAGATGAGATGGTTTGTGGGTGGAGGGTAGTGACGGGGGGGAAACCACTGTAATCCAAAAGTTGTACTTTTGAAATTTATATTTATTAAATAAAAGTTTTCTAAAAAAAGGAATTCTTTTGCACAGCACAGCTTCTATATTAAAACGTAACTATCCATGTTTCTCAGCTCTCTTTTAGCTCTTTGAGTACAATGGTTGGCAGGTGTTTGTCTCTGAGTGTTTGGGCCTTGGGCCAAGGGGACTCAGCTGTATGGTTCAGAGTATGCCTTAACAGATCTTCTGTAGATGTCCTTGTGTGCCCACTGCGGCCAGTGGAGCGCTTCCGGGACCTGCGACCTGATGAAGTGGCTGATTTGTTCCAGGCAACTCAGAGAGTTGGGACAGTGGTGGAAAAGCATTTCCAAGGGACCTCGCTCACCTTTTCCATTCAGGTGAGTGCACATATTACTCAGAAATGACTTTTCTCCCTTTTCAAATCCTAGCATTGAGCTCTTTACTCCTGCCCTGGCCCCAGGAAGGAAGCTGTGGTTTCTGCGTCTTAGGTAGTAGCAGGAAAAGGTGGACAAGTCCAAAGCAGCCCTTCTGTTCCTCAGCCCCAGAATGCACTATGAGATGTCACTCAAGGTAATGCTTTAGTGCTGTTTATAAAGCAGGTGGGGATGTTGGACTTGAGATTAAATGGACATGAAGACACTCCAGATCTTTTACTGGAACTGGGGCTTGACAGGTCATTTTTATTCCGTGGTAAAAGCATTTTGAGCAGTGCATGGACCGAGCCCTCCTGTGTAGTTCCAGGGGAGCAGTGATGTGCAGTTTGTGCCTCGCCCTCACGTGGCTTCTCTTTTCCCTACTTTTAATTCAAGCAGCAGTGATCCTCAGAGGTAGGTCTGCCTGCAGAATGACTTGCTTGGCCTGGTAAAGAAATCAGACCCCCAGCCACTGGAGCTCTTTACGCAGAGGTCGGACCAACAGTGGTCAGGTTGGGAGGAGAAGGTCCGTGAGAATCATCAGTTAGGAATTGAGTGAGTCATTAGGAGCTTGTCATTACCCCTTTCAGAGGCTCTATGGAACGGTCTGGGTATCAGTTCATAAATAATGTCCTTTCTGGCTCTGAAATCTGATGACTATGCAATTGTCCTGTGGAAATAAATAGATTATTCCAAGATGCATAGACTCTGCACTTAGCTCTTTAGTTAAACTGAATGTTTACCATCCTTCTTCTCCTCCAGTTTTGTCCCATAGACCTTCAAAGAGAATAAAGAAAGCCAGTGTTTTCAGGTTATAAAGGCTGTGACTCAACATGCTAATCCACCTCTCAAATTTTTTATTTCTTATGTACTGTCTTGCCTGTGTTGAGAATATGTGAACTTTCCCCAAAATACTTGGTGTGTTTGTGTGTATTTATATGTCAAAACTGTTGAGTTACTTAAAGGCAGATTGTTCAATTCCAAGTATATTTGTCAAACAAATGTTGGAAATTATGTTTCCAGGAAGACCAGCTGAAGGAAAATAGATGAAAATATCTATCAGTGTTTAATGAAATGGAAGACATAAGTTGTATTTATAGGAAATGACCAGTGTTGGTTAACTAACATGACTTAATAGAGTTAATTCAATAAATGGAAGAACTGACTTGTGCATAGTTCTTAGAATTCTTTCATATATATAGTGTTGTTAAAGTTTCTGTTTGTTTTACTGTAACTCACCATAATATATACATCTATTTCACAACCATGTATCCTATTCCTATACATGTAGATAAAGGAACCCAGAATTTCATAATACAGTGTTTACCCATTCTGGACCTTCTGATAGTTCTTGTTCTGTTATGTTCTGAATTCTTCTGTTTTTTAAGGCTAGTTGCAGCTGTTAAGTCAGTGACATGACATACTAGTGGGCTGTGACTCCAAGTTGAAAAACCATGGATGCCCATAGTTCTGCTTAACCCTTGCCACAGCACAGTCTACCTTCTTGCCTCATTAGTCAGTTTCATTGAGGTACAAACACCTGGCCAAAGCCGTGGAGTCCTAATTCCATTTTGCATTTTCTCACTGTAGAGACAGTGCATGTTTTGCTCTTACACCGTCTAAGCACTTGTGTTTCCTTTGTGTCATGGCTGGTGACCAGGCAGGCTTGCTCATTTTCAGCTAAGCCAGTAGATTTGTTGGGCTTCAGAAAGACCTGAAGGGGAAAGAGGCTCAACTACAGTGAATGCTCCTGTTTTTTTGCCAAGTTCAGAATACTAAGAGAGGCCTCTTCCCAGATGAATTCCTCTGTATTCTTACATAATAAATTACATCTACTGCAGACTTGCTGAGTAGAAACTAAAGTAATCAGTCATTAATTAAACCAGAACTGATTTAAAGATAACCAAAAAGTATGATATTTCACCTCCCCAAACATGTTCAGCCCTCTTTAATGCAATTAAAACCATAGCCAAGAGCAAAGAGCATGAAAAGTAGCAAGGGGGTTGGCTCACTGGATAATTTATAGGATTTTTATACATAACTTCTCACTTATTCTTGGGCGGAAATGGAGAACTGTCTGGACCCATGCATTTGAAGAGAATGGTCCCCATGAGATACTATAAATTAACGCACAATGAAATTGGATCTGAATTATTAACGGGCAATATTTCTGAATAAGCAGCAGGTGCCATCTCTCTCTGTTCTCACCTCTGTTGTTTTTTTTTTTTTTCTTTCTGCTTCTAGGATGGTCCTGAAGCTGGACAGACTGTGAAGGTGAGTGCTTATGATGTGCATATATATTAATAGGAGTCAATTGAGAGAACTGAGAAAATCATGAGTCATTTGTGGCACACTGCTGTTTTGTTATGTCATCGTTGAGGTCAGAGAGACCCTCTGTGTGGCAGCCACAAATCCTGACCTTATCAGCTGCCCCAAACAGTATGTTTCCCATTAGTTTACAAGACATTTACCTTTTGTCATAAAATTATTATCGTGCAACCACTAAAACAGAGACTAAATCATGGAGTCCTAAAACAGAGCTGAAGTCAGAGGGGTTCATGTACGGTAGTGTCTAGGAAATAGCACATAAGCATGGTACGCATTCTGTGAATCCCATGCTAAGCCTTGGGCAAGGCGGTCTTTGAGACATGATAGATTCTTCGTACAGTCGGCTTTTGCCTCGTTCTTCAAGGAATGAGCATTGTGTGTCTCCCTTCCCTCATGGCCCTGTGCCTCTTACTGTTCCCCTTCTTGTCATCTCTTCTCCTCCTCTTTTCCTCCATAGGTATTTAATACCAAAGTTCAAGACTAATGGAGTCAGTAGAGCTCAAAAATGGGTTTTTAAGTCTGCTGGGCATGGGAAGGAGGATTTATTAGGACTGCCCTGGCTTCCATAATAAAAGTAAAATAAAAGACTGAGATCTTGGCTGATTGTGAAACTGGGCTTTAGTCCTTTTTATACAAATGCAAATTCCTAGGCAGTTAGGGCCTGTGCAAACATCATTTCTAGAAAATACTTCTTATTTTTTATTATTATTATTAATTTTATTATTTGATACAAGAAAGCAGAAGCAAGTCAGACTGAGATGCTAACATTACACTTTGTGAGATAAAGTTTTATGGCTATGAGGCTGGATGTAAGAGAATATCACTCCATACCAAACAATGCCAGGAAACAATTCTTCTCCCCCTGAATCTGCATTGACTGTAATGTTTAAACACAGCAGGTATAGACCCTTTTTTTTTTTTTTTTTTGACAGGCAGAGTTAGACAGTGAGAGAGAGAGAGACAGAGAGAAAGGTCTTCCTTTCCATTGGTTCACCCCAAAATGGCCGCAATGGCTAGCGCAATGTGGCCGGCATGCTGCATGGATCCAAGCCAGGAGCCAGGCACCTCCTCCTGGTCTCCCATGCAGGTGCAGGGCCCAAGCACTTGGGCCATCCTCCACTGCCTTCCCAGGCCACAGCAGAGAGCTGGACTGGAAGAGGAGCAAACAGGACAGAATCCAGTGCCCCAACCGGGACTAGAACCCGGGGTGCTGGCACCGCAGGTGGAGGATTAGAGGTATGGAGCTTTTAAAATAGAATTTCTGCAAAGCACCTTGGAGGATTGTATATCCCTTAGGGACTGCCACCAAAAGGGCTATAAAATTCCTTAGGATAGAATGAACTAGTCTCGCATTACTCTAAAATACATGGTGTGTTCAGAGGCACAGAGTCTCCCAGGCCAGGCTCCCAAAGCTGTAGACAACTGAAAACGGATGGCATGCCAGTGGCTTCTTTATGAAAGCAGTTTTTGAAATATAAACATAAATGTTTAAACCCAGTTACCCGATTATCTAAAAATCGGCATTCAAATTTAAATTCTGACTCTGTGGAATAGTTAGATGCATTATACACTGTGTAGTTGATGGAATTCCTTCAGTCATTGAAAATGACACTGTGGAGCCCTCGCTGGTGAATGGGAAGACTGCAAACCATGTTAAGTGGCGTGTGCACAGTGATCATACGCACATAATAAAGCTGGCTAACGTTTATGTGGATAGGTTATATGAGCTGAAGATTTCATTTCACAGTTCTAGGGGAGACATTAAAAATATTACTATACAAACAAGCTTCAATAGAGTCGGAAAGTAGGTGAGGGGGTCTCCAGGGTCTGGGGGAAAGAGGGTGTCGGGATTGACTGCAATGGCTATGGGTTTCCATTTGGGGTGATGAAGATGGAGTGGAATTAGAGAGTGGTGATGGTTGTGCAGCATTGTGAATACACTAGAAGCCACGGGACTGTATACTTTATAAAGGTGGATTTTATGGTATCTAAATTATCTCTTGATTAAAAATGATAACACAGTTAAAAACAAATATTGATTCTTGCAGGGCTGAGAACCATGGCAAGGGACTCTCTTCCTCCTATAGTAATTAAAAGCATTAACTGTTTGAGAAGGAGATAGACAAGGGGAGAGAGAGAATATACTCACTTGCTAATTCACTCCTCCTATACCCATAATGGCCACAGCTAGGCCAGGCCAAGCTGAGAGGTAGGAACCCAATCCATATCTCCTATGTGAGTGGCGCGAACCCCGTTATTGGGGCCATCGCTGCTGACTGCCAGGATCTGTATTAGCAGGAAACTGGAGGCAGGCGTCAGAGCTCCGAATCAAACCTCGGCACTCTGATGTGAGAAGTGGGTGTAATAACTGTTGTCTTAAATTGCTGACTCAGCATTTGACTCAGCAATTATGTTTTGGTGTTCCAACTCTGTGGCTAACATTTTTGATATTTCTGTTAACTTTGAAGGTGGTGGTAATGGATTCTTAACATATAGCACTTATGTATGAACTTTTAATTGGATATTACCATCATTATTATTATCTTAATTTGATTTTTTTTTCAAAAAAGTTTAAATTTTTTTAATCACCAGATTGTATATATTGGGAATATCCTTCAATTGTTTCCTGATCCCAGAATTCCCCTAATAGGAATTAGTGGATTCTTCCTTCCTTCTTTTTTACAATTTAATAAAAAATTGAGGGACTGGCACTATGGCGTAGTAGGCTATCTGCCTTTGGTGCCAGCTCCCATATAATAGCTTACTCATGTCCCAGCTACTCCTCTTCCTATCAAGCTCTCTGCTGCGGTCTGGGAAAGCAGTAGGAGAGGGCCCAAGTACTTGGGCCCCTGCACCCACATGGGAGACCTGGGAGAAGCTCCTGGCTCCTGGCTTCTGATAGGCCCAGCTCTGGCCACTGTGGCCATCTGGGGAGTGAACCAGCTGATGGAAGATAGCTCTCTCTCTCTCTAACTCTGCATTTCAAATAAATGAATAAATAAAAGTTTTTTTTTTTTTTTAATTTGAGAGATTGAGATTGAGATTGAGAGAGATCTTCCATCTGCTGATTCCCTTCTCCAGTGGCCATATAGCCATGATCAGGTCAGGGTGAAGCCAGGAGCTTGGGTCTCCCATATGGGTGGCAGGTTCATTACTGCTTGGACCATGGTTCTGTTGCTTTCTCAAGCATGTTAGCAAGAAGCTAGATCTGATGTGGAGTAGCGGGGCCTCAAAGGCACTGTAAGTGATGGCCTAACCCACAGCAACAAATTCTGTTCCTAGTGGTGCTATTCCACATCAATTATGAAATAAAATGGCTTCAAGAAAACCATCACATGTACATACATAAAACCTCAGTTGACAGTGACCTTTTGAATTCTGTTCTTTTAAACCAAGTATATATATATCTGAAGTTGTGTCATCTATGTGTTTTCAAGTGTGAACCTTACATGGCCTTGATGAAAATGAACTTTGGTGTTAGTTAAGCAACAACCAAAAGTTGATTTGCAGTTCTTAGGATAAATCTCTTGATTTAGAATGCTCTGCTGGAGGCTTGGGAATCTTCACTGTTAAGGGTACAAGCTCTGCAATTCTTTGCAGAGTGTGAGTACTCATTCTACAATGAGTGATGAGAGCCGCACAGCCATGACCCATGGAAGTCAGAGTCACCAGCTGCTCCCAGGGACAAAGCAGCATCTTTAAATGCAGCTGTCCAGTTCTGAAAAACTACAGTGCAAGACTGGGAGCCTTTCGTATTTTGAAATTCACACAGCCGCGCGTGTTCAGGCAAGGTCTGACAGCCTGCCACGGGAAGTCCATGGACTGTTCTCTTCATCTTCACCTCTGCTTGTGATTCGCCTGATGCCTGGGTTCGAAACCGTGCCTGTCTCCTGCTGGGTGGTAATAGCGGTGAGCCTGGTAATGGGCTTTTCCCCTGCAGCAAGTGTTGTTCTGTTAATGAAGGGGCACCGCTGAGGTAGCCTCTTGAACACGAGGCTACTTCAGGCTTCTTTGTTTCAGGAGCTTTCAATTCTGCTTTGCGAAGAACAGGGGTGGCCTGACCCACTCAGCCAGGTGGTTGTAGCAGGAAAAGGGAAATATCGAAGTGGAAACGTGACCTCTTAGTTCACCATTGATTATTAGCTCTCCTTGTGGGGTTGAAAGGGAGGAGAGCACTGCCGTCCGCCAGACGATCATTGCAGCAATTTGGATATCCTGCCGGCTTGAGAAACAATCTTTCTTCTCTCTCAGACCTGCAGCCCCTAGCATCAGCCTTCCCCGATCACTTTCCTACAGCAATCCCCCTAAAACCTCTTACTTCCTATCCTGCTGCCTTCTGCAGTTTCCAGTAAACCATTCTTCGCTGCCCCTTATTTGTTGACGTGTTTATGTTCCTGTAGCTCTGTCTCACGAATGTAGGCGTCAGGGCTGTTGTGACACAGTCGTTAAGCTGCTGGCTGTGGACAGCATCCCATATATGAGCCAGTTTGAGTCCTGGCTGCACCACTTTCAACCCAGCTGCTTGCTAATTCACCTTGGAAGGCAGTGAAAGATGATCCAGGTTGGGCTCCCGACATCCATGTGGGAGACGTGGATGGAGTTCCAAGCCCCTCTCTTTGGGCTAGATGAACCCCAGCTCTTGCTGCCATTTGGAGAGTAAACCAGTGGAGAGGACATCTCTCTCTCTCTCTCTCTCCCTCCCCCCCCCCCTTTCAAATAATGAATAAAATAAATAGATAAGTTTTTTTTAAAAGATTTATGTTATTTATTTGAAAGACAGGGTTACAGAGAGAGGTAGAGACACAGAGAGAGGACTTCTATCCTCTGGTTCACTCCCCAGATGGCTGCAATGGCTGGAGCTGCGCTGATCTGGAGCCAGGAGCCAGGAGCTTCTTCAGGGTCTCCCATGCAGGTGTAGGGGCCCAAAGACTTGGTCCATCCTCCTC